CATATTTCCTATGTTGATCGATAGAATCGTAAATATATACTGCTACTAGATGTCCAACTTCGCTCGCCGTATAAAAAACAAACAAAGGCGATGTTGCACCTCCAAGTGGCGGGCGTCATGGTCGGTTTGGTTCTGACAAGGTGCCTAACGACGACGACGCTCCTGCATCACAGCTCGCCGTGTTCATTGATGACTGATCGAAATATTTGCTGAAGGACGTGGAGAATTTGATAAAAATGAACAAATAATTGTGAAAATGAAGTCACAGTCTGTCCTGCAAATGACCAGGATGATGTGACAACTTCCTTGTCGAAAGAAAGCAAGGCGATGCATTGCAAAAAATGTCAGTCAGATGTAGATAAATTGGTGACGAAAATAAATACTTTGCACTTTATATATAAAAAAAAATCGCCTAGTAGCACAGCCTTTTGGTCTCACTCCATCTCAAGTTCAAGTATTGTAGCTTTACAGAAGTTTCTTCTCTACTTGACCTACAATCAGGGCTGCCATAACGTCCTTATTTGTAGAATTTGTCCTTATTTTGAAGGTCTTTGTTTTAGGGAAATATTTTTTTCCTTTTTCTAAGAAACATTCTTATTTTGACGTGTGTCTTTATTTTTGACTTTATGAATGAAATATACCAGTAAATTAAATTTTGAATTTAGTTTAGATCTGAAACTTCAAAAGAGATAAACTAAGTAAACGTAAAAACATTTGCCGTGATGATTATGAGAAAGAATTCAACGGCGTCAAACGAAACGAAGGGCCAGTGATTTGCGCACTGCAGCTTTTGTGAATGTGACAATAATCTGGAATCCACATGTAAAGCAGCAATTTCTGTTCACAATGCAACCCAGAAACACAAGGCTCTGCTCAAGAAATTAATCAAACCAATCTATAAATAACCTTTCCAAGAGTCAATGATTATATAAGGGCTATCTCAATACATGCAAGCAGCTGAAATTTATTTCTATCATCACATCATTGAAAATCCGACACTTGATTTAAAAGAAAAATATTTTCAAATCATTCATGAGCGAATACCTATTAAACAATGTAACTGAATGTCAAGATGTAACAGCACCACTTGAAAAAGCATTCAAAAAAATTACAAGAATTAGAGCGAATGTATACGCAAAGTACTGCAGCAAAAATAAGAACAACAAGATCAACTGGAGCACTGATGAATTCTCAGCCCCGCGACCTGCAAAATATGCATCTTTTAAACTGCCCTACGGTAGGGGTCGGCAACCTTTTGTCGTTCGCGGGCCATAATTAAGGTCATTAAAGTCATTGTTGGGCCGCACATATTTTTAGAAAGTTGAAAACCGAACGGATGATACTCTTTATAAAAAAAATCGAGCAATGATACATCGCTTGAATAGAATATATATAGATTTATCTCCTCGTTGCACTGCGTTTTGATAAATTTCATTTGAATATTTCTGGCGCCATTGAACCCTTTGCACTCAGCATTAACTTCTGCATTTCGTTGCCATTTGTCGAATTATAATTAAATTATAGACTCATTAAACCAGTAATTGTGATTTTTATATTCGTTAGGTTATAATATAATTTAATCTACACGTGTCTCAATAATTTCTGTTACGTAAAAAAAATAATCGTCAAAACTGCTGTTTGGTTACTATAATTTGGTGAACCATCGCGGGCCGGATTCTATTACTCGCATCCGGCCCACGGGCCGTAGGTTGCCGACCCTTGCGTTACGGGCATAGCTGGAGATTTTGAAAGGGGGCCTGAAATTTTCAATTGACAAGTTAGACCAAAACACCTAGCAGGTCTGATTGGAAGCCGGCAAATGTTAGTTTTCAATAGTCCCGATGGTCTAACTCCCATAAAGTGTTTCAAGCCACGAAAAATGTATATGTATGATATAGTAAAAAATATGGAAGACTTTTATTTTACACTTAATGATTGGTTATCACGTGAACATTTTGTGGAAGATTTTATTCTTTATAATTTTTTAAGATTTTCGACGTTTACCGCTTGCATAAAGTGAACTTAGTTTTCTACTTATGAATTTTCAAAAACCGCTTCAACGAAAATCGATCGCAGTTCGGAATTGGCCTTTGATGACGTAGTAGTGAGAACTCATTTCAGAACTTGCTCGCTCATTGGAAAGTATGGTGTTTAACCTCTGTTTTGGCGTTTAAATTTAGTTTCTCGTCGCGTAGTTTAATGAAGATTGAAACAATATTGTATTGTTAAACATAAATGCCAATGCATAAGAATTTCTGACTGTAAGGGAATTTTGTGTAATGATGCTGATACCGGTACTGACCGTCCATTGAAATCTCAGAAGAACTGATTCAAGTATTTACCACTTTATTTCGTTTATCGACCGTTTGCTAAAATATTTAGTCAAAGCATGAGAATACCCAGTCCACTTTTGTATGAACCAAATACAAATTGCCAATTTGTATATTTACCAAAAGAGTGATAGTCTACTACCAGATAAACGTAGACTCCCAATAATGCTTAAGTTTTTTTTATTCCTTCACATTATTATGCATCAAAACACTATTGTATGTTGAACATTATTAAACTGTCTGGTAATATTATTCGGATCTTTATTATGCCAGTTCTATCTATTTAATTTGTATTCTTCGTTTTCCAGTTCACACACAACACTGACCAGCTGCCATCGATCAACTAATGGAGATTCGTGACAAAACATTTATTGACATGAATTAATTACATATGATGAAAACTTGTAATAAATGTTAAAAAAATAAAAACTGATTTAGATAACTGCGTCAGGAATTGTTGTTTCGGGCTGTGGGTAGAAGTTTGCATGGGGATTCCAACATAATTTTAGGGCTGAAACGAGGTCTTCTTTTAGTTCTGTTGAGACATCAGAACAGGGTGCTTAAGAAAATTTGATCCAGAGTTCCCTGCTCTGGACAGACCCATCACTGTGAATTATGCTGTATACACTACACACTACATCCTCTACGGTAGTGTTCTCTAGTCTAAAGCACATACACCGGTACGCTCATTCTAATATAGTCTATAAACATACCGACAATGTAACAAAAAAAACTAGTTGAAGGATCAGAAAACAGAATAAACCCAAATAAATTATAAAATCTGGATAATTTGAGACAAGAAATTGCTTGGTATGCGTTATTCCACTAGAACAGTGGTTCTTAAAGTATGGGTCGCGACCCAAACATGGGTCGCGGAAGGTTTAAAAATGGGTCGCGACAAGGTCGTCAATGCAAGGGCAATCTAAGAGGAGAAGGACGAATTTTCAGCTTTCCCAATGTTTCAATTTAGCTTCTAAACTCTGGTATTTAAAAATAATGAAATAAAAAATTTCATTCACGGAAAGAACTGTCTTGAGCTCATTGTTACATCACAATTCTGATATGCCAGTCACGTGTATTATTTTTATGGTATCGGTAACCATGCACGTCGCTTGTCGTTGTGTTGACCGCATGGAATGTCGTCTTAGTGGATTAAAATAACCAAAAATGGGTGTCTTTTTGGTAATGAAAATTGTAATAGAAGACGCAATGAAAAAGCTCGCTTCTCGACATTAGATTATTCAATATCTAGAGAAAATGTGACTTCATCTCGAGGCACCATTTACCGCGAACGAAGCAGTGCGTGCACATGTGACGAGTAAAAAGTTGTATATTGCGAGAGATACCGAAGGCCAGCGACGGACAGCGGACGCCTTTTCTGCTACAATTCGCGACAAGGCACTTGTGCGAGCGAGGATATTTGGCACTGACGGTTATCAAAACTAAGCTCGCAATCGCTTTCGATACCCGTGACAACTTGCGTATTGCGTTAAGTAAAATAGAGCTGTGTATTGAAGATATAATGAAAAAGGAAATTTCAGTTTCATCAATCTCACTGAGTCAATGGACTGTTTCTAATAAATAGTTGTCTGTATTTGAGTCAGACTGTACTAACATTAAAAACACATTTTGCGTTTTTTAGGATTGGGTCGCGAGTATTCATAAAACTCAGATTTGGGTCGCGCTCGAAAAAGTTTAAGAACCACTGCACTAGAAGATATGTTACAGCAAAAGGTCCGGCACAGACATCGAGTATATTCTGACCTCGATTAGTTGAGTTTACCATAATTTCTTATAATGCAAAGATAATATTCGGATATTTTGGTATGTATTTAAACCACTGAGGCGTTTCCAAGTGCACCGCCCTATAGAACTAGCACACGGTTCAAAATAAGTACACAGAACGCTATAATTGCCGTGCCGAACATTTTTATGTATCTGGTTTGTATAGTCAGCTTGTAGAGAATGTGAATTGTAACTGTAGACTATAATGTTATTCAACCCCTTTATATTATTCAAAAGTATGTTGAATTCTACTAAATAAGTCACATCATTATCGCGCCAGCGATACAGCCTTCTTTTGTAGCGACCAATTTTGAAGACGTGTGTTTCCGGTTTCGCCGAGTGTTGGAATGTAGCGTGTTTTTTATGTTCTTATTATTTTGCCTCGGATTCGACGTATATCTGCATTAAGGGTTTAAGTGTATTTTAATTAGAGATCTGAAGATCTGAAGCCCAAGTGAATTTTAATTAGACTCTAAATTTGTCACTGAGCAAGCTAATGTTTCAAGATCAGACTTTCGTTTTGCCCGTAGAGATAGAAGGCAATCAAATTATTATGAAAATTCTAACGCGAAAGGTAGTGCTTTTGCTATTTCTGCTAGTGGTTCAAATTGGCACTGCCCGTGTTGTAATTTTTCTCACGAATTATTCAACTGTAAGAAACTTAAAGTCCTTTCATGGTACGAACGATATAACGTGGCTAGACGGAATCAGTTGTGCTTCAAATGCTTAAGACGAGGGCATATGTTTAGACAGTACACACAGAATGAAAGTTGCCCCATTCACGATTGTAAGTATCCGTTCCATCATGTTTTGTTGCATCGCGATTTCGAGACACCTACACGGCGAGATGGGAATAGTAAACAGACTTGTTCCGTCGGTACCTCGATGAACCATGCGGATCACGACGTTCACGCTAATAAATTGGCGCCCGCAAAGCAACAAGGGAACACCGGTGTTTACATGAATATCGTCCCGGTGACAGTAACTGCTGGCAACAGGGCTTTTAATACATACGCTCTTTTGGACTGTGCTTCTACAACCACCATGTGTAGTGTGAAATTGATGAACAAATTAAATCTAACCGGAGTGCCTATAGATGTTACATTGCAAACTGTTGGTAATCGTCCCAAATGTGTTAAAGCAAAGAAGTTGTCCCCTCTACTCGTTAAAGAAATTGACGGACATGACGATTGCATTGAATTGCCTAATGTATTGTGCGTCAGTAACTTGCCCATAAAGCCCAATAAGCTACCCTCGCGCAGTTCCTTGCGTAAGCTATCCTATTTGTCTGATATCGACTTTCCTCGAATACACGACGGTGAAGTGACTTTGCTGATAGGAGCGGATGTTCCCGAAGTGTTTGTGTGGGAGGAATTTAGAAAGGGTCGGAGTCAACAGTCGATTGCGGTAAAAACCCCTCTGGGTTGGTCTCTTATGGGTCCGTCTCTGACCGTCTATGAAAACACTTCCATTAATTTTGTTGATACAAATCCTTTGGCGTCGCAGATTGAGCGACTTTGGCGTACGGATTTTGCTGACGTCCCCAGTATTTGTGACACTAAAACTTCCCGCGAAGATAGAATAGCGCGTAGTTGCATGGAAGACAAACTCAAATTTGTTGATGGACATTACAAACTACCTTTATTGTGGAAAATCAATCATCGCGAGTTACCATGTAATCAGAAACTGGCGGAGAATCGCCTTCGTCAGTTAAAGCGACGTCTTTTAAAAGATGACACATTGCGCCAAAAATATATTCAGACAATGAATGATTATGTTGATAAAGGATACGCTCGTATAGCTGACAGTCCTAGGTCGCCGAACATCTATCCAACAAAATGGTTATTGCCACATCATCCTGTGATAAACCCAAAGAAACCAGACAAACTTAGAATCGTCTTTGATTGCGCGTCCAAGTCCGAGGGTTTGTCGTTGAATGATGCGCTTATGAGTGGCCCAGACCTTGTTAATAGTTTGGTTGGTGTACTAACCCGATTTCGAAGGAAAAACATCGCGATTATCGCTGATATTGAATCAATGTTCCATCAGATTAGAGTGAAACCGGAGGATCGGGCCTTTCTAAGATTTTTGTGGTGGGTCGATGGAGATTTATCTACACAGCCAGTCGAACATGAAATGACTGTGCATTTGTTTGGTGCTTCGTCATCACCTAGTTGTGCTGCATTTTGTCTGTTGCAAACAGCGAAAGACTTCGGCGCGGAATACGATTCCAAGATTTTAGAAATTGTTAAACGAGACTTCTATGTTGATGACTGTTTGTCCAGTTGCAAAAATGATAACGATGCTGTTTCGACGGTGATGCAGCTACGTTCCTTGTTGAGTAAAGGAGGGTTTAAACTTACGAAATGGATGTCCAATAGTAAGGTTGTTTTGAATAGTTTGCCGGAAAGCGAGCGTTGTAAGCAACTGCGAAGTCGTGTCTTGGACGACGGTGTGTCTAATCGCATTCTAGGCGTGTATTGGAGCGCATTGAGCGATGAATTCGGGTGCAAGATTGATATTCCCGATCGAGAGTTTACTCGGCGAGGTATTTTGTCCGCGTTAAGCTCGTTATTTGATCCCCTTGGATTTTGGGCTCCTGTCACGTTGACTGCTAAGTTGTTGCTACAGGATCTATGCCGTAAGAAGATCGGCTGGGACGACCCTGTATGTGAACGTGATGCAAATAGCTGGGCCAATTGGTTGAACCAAATTCATCTATTGGAAAACCTGAAAATTTGTCGCTGTCTTGAACCGCTTGACTTTGGACGCGTCAGTCGAAGTGACGTACATATTTTTGCAGACGCATCGAATAACGGATACAGCGCCGTTGCATATCTGCGTCTGATTGACGAACATTCTAGAGTTCATTGCGCTTTCCTGATGGGTAAATCTAGACTAGCTCCAATTAAACCCGTATCAGTGCCTCGTTTGGAGTTAACTGCGGCGGTTTTAGCCGTGAGATTGGGAGCAATAATCAGAAAAGAGCTAGACCTTTCACTAAGACAGTGCGTCTTTTGGGCGGATTCAACTGCCATACTACAGAGTATTCGTAACTCTTCGAAACGGTTTACAACGTTTGTTGCTAACCGACTAACTACGATCGAGCAGAATTGTGATATTTCAAATTGGCGCTACGTTCCAACTAAATTAAATCCAGCCGATGATGGTTCGAGAGGAGTTTCTGTAGATAGATTTCTTAATCGGGATCGCTGGCTGCGTGGTCCGGATTTTTTATGGTTGGATGAAAGGGATTGGCCTATTGACCCTGTTAGTATGCCGGATCCGCCACTGGAATTTCAACCTTCCGAGCATATTCCCGTGCAAATTAACTTAACTGACTGCTTGAACGAAAATTCTGAAACTGTTTCGGCTACCGATCGTTTAATTCAAAGATACTCTAGTTGGACTCGCTTGTGCAGAGCCACAGCTTGGCTTATGCGATACAAGTTGTTTCTGCTCATGCGGATATCTAAGACTGCAAACAACCCCAATGTTGGTCCTTTGACGTTAAGCGAGCTCAGGTTTTCGGAGACGCAACTTGTGAAATACGTGCAGTGGCAGATGTTTCCGAAGGTTATGGAGATGCTGGGTTGGGGGTATGTTACGTTGTAAACGTACGTTTGTCGTATATTTTGCCACTGTATGCAGTGCATCGTGCTCTGCTTTGCATCCAATCATTGTAGACCCATTATTACCCTTTGTTTGTAGCGTAAATTAGTATTATTATCTATTGTCTGGTTTAGCGTTTTCCTTTCGGTTAACAGCCGAATGTGATTTGGAACAAGCCTAACTGCTCCCGCGCACTTCGTAAACTTTCTCCCGTTATGGACAGCTACGGCGTAATGCGTGTGGGAGGTCGTTTAGACAATGCGTCAATACCGTACGAATCGAAACATCCTACCATCCTACCGAATGAACATCATTTAACTTTGTTGCTGATAATCAAGTGTCATATTGAAGTTGGACATTCTGGAATGTGTCACACCTGGACGATGTTGAGACAAACATATTGGGTATTGAAGGGTGGCGCTGCAGTTCGTAAAGTCATAGGAAAATGCATATTTTGTCGAAAGCGGAACGCCCATGTTGGCGAGCAATGTCTGACCTACCCGCTGCTCGGTTATATGATAACGTCCGTGCATTTTCGTATGTTGGAGTTGACTTTTTTGGCCCCCAATAACCCTGCTAAAACGCTTAAAAACAGTGAAAAACCGTCAAAAAACACCAATAACCCTGCTAAAACGCTTAAAAACAGTGAAAACCGTCAAAAAAACCAATAACCCTGCTAAAACGCTTAAAAACAGTGAAAAACCGTCAAAAAACACCAATAACCCTGCTAAAACGCTTAAAACAGTGAAAAAACCGTCAAAAAAACACCAATAACCTGCCAAAACGCT